AACTCTTTTGCGCTTTTCTCGTCTTCTTTTGGCTGCATTTGTTTTTCTTAGTTCTAGCTCTGTGATAATTTTTGCACATAATAGTTTATGGTCACTCATTGTACATATATCTATCAGTTATTAAAAATATAATTTTTTTTATTTTATTATAATATTTTATAAGTATTTTTTTAGAATTAGTAAAACCAGGTTAAAAATTTAAAAATGCAGTAGAAGATATATTTTAACAAACTATCATTGCAAAAACCCTTTGCCAGAAGTTACTCATCAGTTGCTTATAATAATATCTCTTCTATACTTTGCTTTTTTTTTACTTTGGGTGGCTTTTTTTCAAGAAGTAAGGGTTCCAAATTTTTTTTTGTTCATCTCTTTGCAATGCATTTTTCTACTTTTAAAATATCTTGTTTAATAATATCTAAGATTCTAATCATTCTTTTATTATAATAGATAAACATGCACTCATATCTGTCAGGTATTAATTGATTAGAAATCTCAAAAAGCAAATGTTTTTCTAGTTCATTGTATTCAATAGCTTCGGAGAGTATATTTACCAGCTTCTACAATGCTTTTTTGTGATCAATCTTTGTGTTTGTAGTTTTATTTATACAATTATTAGTTACAAATTCTGTATATAATGCTAGCAACTAATCCTTTTTATTTTGAGCTGCTTTAATTACTATTTTTAAGTTATTCAGATCTGTTAAATATCTAGTTATGTTTTGTTTAACAAATTTTACACCAAAATATTATAGTGCTTTATTATATACAAAAAAATATTCATCTGCTATAAGATTTATAGACTCAGCTATCTGAAATTTTGTTTTCAGAGTTGGGTTTGTTTCTATTGTTATTAAAAAACATAGTACTGATATTGCATATTTGCTTTTTCTAGTGATAAGAAATAAAAGAGCAAAAGCTTTCAGGTGTTCATATTGAATCTTGAAATTATTTATTTAAATATCAATTTTATGAAGCTTAAGCCAACTTGCCTATTTGTAATATAAGGTCCAAACTTTCAAAATTTTAATATTTCTATTTTCAATATCTACTAATATTATATAATGTTTATCTATACAGTATACATATGAACAATAATTGCTATAGCTACCCAGATATGCTCAAGAACATGAAATATTACTCTGTAATTGATAATATCCTGAAGCTTTTTTAGATACTTTATGCCAAGTATAGATGCTAATCCAAATAACCCATATCTAGAGAAGACAGATATTAGAGTGCTGCATATATCTTTATTTATATGCTACTAACCAAAAATAGAATTTAATTTTAGCTAATTATTAGAAAAATCAGTAAGTCTTTAAAAAATAGCTTCATTATAAACAATATCCAAAGATTCTTTTTGTTTTAATTCTAAGTCCTTTATATATATTTCACAGGCTTTATGTGTTACAAAATTAGTATTTGGTGCTGGTTCAGCCTCTAAAATAACAACATTTGGTAGAAAAACTTTACACTTCTTTCCATTGCTTCTTTAAGTACAGAATTTATTTTATTTATAGCAAATTCCATTGGGTTTTCTACTATCAACTAATTGAAGATTTGGGTAAGCTTTTTTATCTACTACTCTGTGAAGTAGTTGCTTCTATACAGATTATCAGCAAAAATATTAGAAATTGAAGGTAGTATTTCAATATTAGGCATTTCAAACTAAAAAACTATATATAAAGTAGCATAAGCAGTATCTCGTGTATTATCATAAATATTATCAGATCTAAATATTTTTTCTTTGAAATCTATATTGTCTATTACTGCCAAGTTCTAAATATTTAGTCTTAACTTTATTTTTTTTTGTATATTTGTTTCTAGCATACAATTTTTTTAAACTTTTACCTCATAATCTTTTAAGCATACTAATATATTTGCAGTATAAAGAATAGCACACAAATACAATGCAAGCTTGGGTCATTTACAAAAAGATCCAGCTAATTGTAAAAGCCAAAATTTCTAGCTTCTGAATGTATATATTAGAATGACAGAGAAAAGAAAAGATGTACTTTTTGCTATTTCACTCTTGTTTAGTTCAGTTACTATAGCCTTATATTTTTTTTGTTTTCATTTAACTATTTCATGATTTTTAAGTTGCAAAGTGAAAATCAGACTATCAAAGAAGCTTGTTAAACATTTTGGCACTACTTTATAATATTGTTGTAAAGAATTAAGACTCTCTAATATCTTCTTATGCAAAGATAAACTAGTATATGACTTTAAAATTTCAAAGGCAAGTGATTTTTAAATTCTTTATATTTTTTAGGCTTCAATATAAATTGGTTTAATTGTTTAAAAAAATCTAACTTTTTGACCTTAAAAGCTATATTAACTACAAACAGACTAGATAATTTATTTATTTATACTGATATTAAATTCAAGTTAAAGTTTTTTAGATATAGATATAGGGCTTAAAGTAAATATTTTTTTATATTATCATCTTCTAACTCTGCCACTATCTCAATTAGTTTTGCAAAACAATAAAGAGCAGTTGTAGTATTATTCAAATGTTTTGCAATATATCTAATATCTATAATATTTTCTGAGCCATAACATATATACAAATACCTCTATTCTTTTTATAATACTAGCAGCACACAAAATAAACTTGTTACAAATTTTTTGTATTTTTTGTATCTTTACTATTTTTAATAGCTGGCAGAGAACCATTCCATAGCAAGATACTTGTATTGTCTAATTATATACAATCTATGTATGTTCTAAACAACTTATTCTACAACTAAAAAAAACTTTTTTTTTTGTGACAGAAAAAGCAGATATAAGAATTAAATTGACTTCTATTAGTTAGGTATTTGCTTTTTAAATTTTTTCTGTATATAGTATTTTGATCATAATTAAAATACCTTGAACAGACTTCAAAAAGTTGAAATTGTTTGTTAACTTCTTCAACAGTATTTACATTAATTTTCCAAATACCAACAAGTTCCTGCAATCTCTTATTGCTAATTCTATTATAACAATGTATCTCTCTATAATTATTATCAATTATAATACACAGTGTAGTAGGTTTTTGTATAGTTACAAGAATTTTTCACTATATTCATTGCCAATTTCTTCAATTTTTTCAATTTTCTCATAGTTAATATCCTGCCTAACTATATTTTTAGCATTAAGCTTTTTCTATAGATTATTTTTATGTTCTGTTAGATCTAAAGCTTTCTCATACAAGTATTGCTCAAAATTAAATAGAGGGTCATTATCATGTGAAGCAAAGTTTCTTGCAAATTGTATAAGAGATTAGTACTTATTTTTTGATGATACAAGTTAAATCAGATAAAGTTATTTGTTCTTTTTATTTGAAGTATTTTTTTATTAATTTGTTTGTTATTAATTTGTTAAAATCAAAATTGAAAAAAAATAGCACCTTTTATTGATTTGAGAGAATTGCAGTATCTTTGAAAAAAAGAATTTAATAGTATATTTGTCAAAGAAGTTAAGTTTTTAATTATGTATAGAGTTGGAAATAACCTTATAAAGAATTTTAACAAAGTAAATGAGTTAATAGAACTCAATAAAGAATTTTAACAAAATTAATAGGTTAATGGAACTCAATGACGAATTTCAATAAAGTCAATAGATCAATGAAAAATTTTGAAGTTAATAAATGATTCAATAAAACTTAATAAAGAATTTTAATAAAGTTAATAGATTAATAAAACTTAATAGATACTTATTTATTGAGACTTCTATTAATTATTTTTTTTTAATAGTAGTAAAAATACCAACAATAATATTTAGAACTATTTTTATCAAACTTTTCAGATATGAATAAAAAAACTTAAAATTTTATTTAGAAATATTAGCTAAAATAGTTTTATAATACGTTAATCTTTATTTAATTATTAATTATAAAATAACACCATATATTAAAATGAAATGTTTAATAATTTATTAATACAAAATATAATAATAAGAGGTTATATTTTATTTAATATTTTATTAATTACAAAAATAAAGTTGAATGAATAATATATATACATAGTAAAAAAATAAAATAAAATAATCTTAATATTAAAATTATAAAAATCTGGCCCAAATGAATTGCTGTTACAAGAACCAAAATAAAAAGAATTCAAAAAATTTTTATACAAATACTTCTTTCAAAGAGTTTTTACTAGACCTAAAGAAATTAATAGATTAATAAATATAGTACTCGAACTATATATATTATAAGGTGCTGATTAGTAGATTTCTATAATTTTATACTCTATATGATTAATATATATATTTTCAAAAGCCTTGAAGAAATCTAAAGTAAAATATAACCAGGTGTAGTGCTTCTCATTGTAAGTGTTTAGGAATACTTTAAAGCTTAATAAAAGTCTGAAATCTCATTTCTTTATATACTTGTAACAAGACAATAATGAACATGTTCGAAAACCTTATCAACAATCTGTAAAAGGTGTAGCAAGATATAAAAAATATTAGTATAATTCGTATTTAAACACAAACTTCAGATATACAATGTTCTCAAAGTCTTAAAAATTAGCCAATTTAAAGTAAAATATATAGGTATAGTGCTTCTTGTTATAAGTATTCAGAAATACTTTAAAGCTAACAAAAGTTCAAAATCTTATTTCTTCACATACTGTGGCAAGATAATAATAAATGTATTCAAAAATATTTGCAGCTGAATATAAAAAATATTAGTATAATTTATATTTAAATACAAACTTTAGGTATATAATGTTCTAAAAGCCTTAAGATTAGCCAATTTAAATAGGTACAGTATTTTTTGTTATAATTATTTAGGAATATTTTAAAGCCAACAAAAGTTCAAAATCTTATTGCTTTATGTACTTGCAACAAGACAATAATAAATATGTTTAAAACCTTATTAATAATCTGTAAAAGATGTGGCAGAATATAAAATACATTAATATAATTTATATTCAAATACTAACTTCAGGTTTAAGATTATTTTTAACTTTGTTTTTAACTATAGACAAAAATTATATAGCTGTTTATAAAAAACTACAGAAATATTATATCTAAAAAAGAACTATGTACAACATTTTAGTAGCCTACAAACTCAAAAAAATTATATGTTTTTGAATTTTTACTAGTAAATTTGATATACAAATCAATTTTTTTTTATAAGCATACAAATGTATAATGATCATCTACAACATGTTATCCAAATTTTAGGGACAGTGCAGTCATGTAATATTGATAAAAAAAGAAAAATAAAGATTTTTGAATTTTTAAATCAAAATATTTCAATATTTATCTAACCAAATCCTGTAGATATTTTTATGTTTAAATTTTATAAATTCATAGAATTTAAAAAAAAAATTCATCAAACTTGGCCAGATGGTTATGGAGATATCTTTACTCAAAGTTAGAGAAAAATCAAAACATCTATTAAAACAGAAGCTATACTAATTTTTTAAAACTTTAAGTGAAAATATCTTTATAACTATCTAGCCAGATTTGATAAAATTTTCTTAACTAAATTTATAAACTCATAGAATTAAAATTAAAAAAAATTTATTGGTTGATTAGGTGGTTGTGGAGAAGATATCTTTGCTCAAAGTTAGAGAAAAATTAAAATACCTATTAAAATAAAGGTTTGATTTTTTTAAAAATCTAAGTAAAATTATCTTTACAATTATCTAACTAAATTTAATAAAATTTTTTATTTTAATTCTTTGAATCTATAGAATATAAATAAAAAAAATATCAAATTTGGTTAGGTGGTTGTGGAGTTATCCTCGCTCAGATTTTTTTTTTTTTTTTTTTTTTTTATTATATGTTCCTGCCTTTTTACTTTTTTTATTTTTATAGTTTTTTTTGTTTTCTTCAACATT